GGCAGCTCCCGGCCGCCCCGGGTGAAGCGGCGGGGGGGGGGGGGGGGGGGGGAGCGACCGTTGTGCCGACCCGTTCTGGCTCCCCTGCCCGGTATGAGATGCGACCCCCGGGGTTTTGAAGATTAGATATTTCTTTTATTTAATCTCTGTTCAGTCCCGTGCTTAATCCAGGGTCTGGGCCGGATTAAACGCAGAGCCAGAACTTTCTTTTTCAATCGGGTTGTGCGGTCGTACTGGCCCTTTTCATCCCTGGGGAGGGAGGGGACCAAAGAGAACGGTAAAACCTGGGGTTTTCCATGTAGCGTCTGCTTGAGTCCCCGTGAGGCATGGTTTGTGATCTCTTTGATTTTCCACTCTGGTAATCTGTATTAGAGCTTGTTTCATGCTTCTGATGAACCTAAATAGGGAATGGAAATGGCAGTCTTTGTTCTGTGCCCAGACTAGCCTTCTCCTTCCCCATCACCACTGTCCAATCGCCTGGCAGCTCTGATTTCTCCATATCTCCACAGTGCAGCTGCTGCACCCGCGTTCAGTGCCTCTATCAAGTAGATTCAGCTGCCTCAAGACACTGTAGTCAGCTTAAAAATTGGAACGAGTTAAAATATTTGCTGCCACTTACAGCTTTATGTGCGTGTAGTAGAGAGCTGGGAGGTACCCGGTGTGAGCATATACTCAGATTTGATCTGCAGATGAGCAGAGTGTTTAGCTCTCTGGTACTTATCATTCTGCTTTTAAATGATTTTTTTTTTTTTTAGGTCTTTCAAACATATAGTATTGCCATAGTTGGTGCAGTGCTAGAGATTTTATTAGCTCCTCCTTTAATGTAGGAAATAATTCTTAAGAATTGCTGCCTCCCATTGTGCAAGTAACTGAGGTATATCGTCATGGGTAACTTGGCATCACTCGCGGACATCTTGATCTAAATAAATTAGTTTTATAATCCGATTTGTCATCAATTTAATGTTTTTCATTAATAAAACCCTTTAGCCAGCTGATGCTTGACAGCTCAGTGATAATGCCTTCCAGTGAAATGAAACCTAAGGAGTTTGCTAATTCCCACACAAAGAACAGCGTTCTCAGCCCACTTAGTAAAGCTTCGTTCACTGAGTGGTGTAACAAGGATTTATGAGGTTTTTTTCATTAATTTAAAAATTGCTGATAGTAGACTGCAGCTTTGTGAGACTTAAAATTGTTCATTGGAAGAGCGCCAGATGCTTCCTGCTTGCTTTGGATATTTTGAAAATTGCTGTCCTTTGGGAGCATTCACTAGCAGTTCAAATTCAGGACCATCTGAGCAGAAAGCTCATGAGAAAGAATCTGAAATAAAACGGTGGTTTTAGGCGACTACATCTTTTTGCGCAGATGACCCCAAACTGATCTGGATTCCTCAGAATTTCTCTACTGCTGTGGCACCCTTTGGGGATGTCATGTTGGAGAAGCTGCTGTAAAGCTTACTTTGAAATTTAGGTCTGGGCCAAAGATTATAATGCATACAGCCAGCACAACTTAAGCAAAATGAGTTCCAGACAAAGAAATGACTGATTATTGTATGTCAGCAGTATTCCTATTCCAACCTTTTTTCAGGAGTGGAAGTTGCTTGTCCTGCCTGCCTCTGGGAGGGAATCCTGCAGGACTTCTGCATTGAAACTAAGACTTCTTCTTTAAAAACAATATGTAAAACTAGTCTAAAATACTTTTGTGGTTCTAAAGCTGCTTAGCATTTCTGGAGAAAATTTGCATTATTTAGGAGTAAGATGAAGAGCAAGAGTGAGTAATACCGATTCTTGAACAATGTACTGTGTGACGAAAAGGTAGTAAAGCAGCTAGATTTTAGGGTTCTGTTACCTAGCACCCTGAACAGAAACTGAAAATTGGGATTTCTTGCACCTTGGAACATGATCCACGTTTCCTCATTCCTGTGGTTCAGAGTCTGTGTGACCTTCTTCTTCCATAGGAGCAAGAAAACCCTTTTTCCTCACTTTGATTTATGCCCTCCATCTGCTGCGGGGAGGGCGGGAGGAGATGCTGGTGTTTTGAAAGGCACAGTCCTCTCTGCTTGCATGCATTGGGAATACAGGATACGTCCACCAATGTGTTAGTTGGGCGTAGGGTTTTTTTCCAAATTCTTGTGGTAATCTTAGCTATTTTTATTTCATGGAGAAACTCCAAGTGAAAAGAGCTGGTCATCTCTGAGCTTCCTATGCTGCAAACAGATATGTGAGCTATGTCATTCCACTAGCAAGTCTCTATATAGCTAGCATCTAGTTGATCCTTACATTAAATGCAGCCCTTTACATCCCCAGAAGTGTGGAGCGTTGAGGAGGGATGGAGGCGGGTGGATTCAGAGCAGCAGGTAGGGTGTTAGAGCAGGATCCATGGAGGGAGGGAGTGCCGAGCAATTGGAGTTGGAGCATTGCAAAGCAGGGAGCAGCTTGAGGTGTTGGAGGACTCCTTGACAGAATCCCCAGCTGACCGTGCTGGTCCTCGTGCCAGGTTCATTCAATCTGTGTGTATTCCAAGGAAGGGAAAAGGGCTGTATGGGAAAGTCGGATGGGCGGTTGCCTCGCTGGAGTGCCTTGCCAAGAAACCAAATAGTGGGATTAGAGATGGGCTGAGGTCATGGGGGTGATGAGAAACTGTATGTAACCCAGGGCAGTAGAATGTCATGAAGCTTGCTTTGTGTGGAGTTAAGACTGTCCTGAAATGGAGATTATCTAAATTTCTGTGTTTCCAAGTATATCCCCTACCTCCCAAAGGAGCTGTAACTGCCGCCTTAAACTTGTGCCCAGATGTCGCAGACTGTAATATGCTAATACTGTTTCACTGTTGCATTTTTAAATGTATATATTGCTAAGCCATGCCAACATTATTAGATGCTGATGCTAGCCTGCCTGTCACTGCTGTGACTCTGCCTCCTCCCACTCCTCTGCCAGGAGCCTCTACTACCTGTGCCATTTCTCATAGCTCACCTCCAGGCTTTCTCTCCTCCCTGCCTCATGCTTGAGCAGTGTTTCTTTTCTTCCCCATGCCCCCCTTCTCCCTGTGCTAGTGGCAGTCCCCTCCCATCTCAGCAAAGCTCCAAAGCAGAGCTGTCTGTGTATGAATCCCAGCATACAGGCTGGAGGGTGGGGGGGTGTATTTCAGCAGAAAGCCGAGGGAGGGAAATGGTGGGGTTAGGCTTGCCAAATTCTGCAGCTTCCACTATTGGCAGAGTCCATCCAGGAACAGGTCCCTGCTTCCTCTCCTCTGAAATCAAACCAGCTGGTGAGCAGTAGTGTAGGAGAGGGGGCTCTGCTTTCTTCCAGAGGCTCCCATTCCCAAACTCTTTTGGGGTTTTGGTGGTTTTTTGTTGTTTTTTGGGCATGGGGTCAGTATTATCATACTGTTAAGATAATACTCTCAGTATTAGGAATAAACAGAATGTGTCTCTGCTTACAGAGCACAGGTGTGCTGCAGGACAGTGTTTAATGTGGGTTTTTTTGTTAAGGAGGAGCTTGGGCTTAGATCAGGAGTAGCACTGTGGCTGCTTAGCCTCCTCCTTGTGAAGCAGCGGTGTTACCAACCCCCTTTACCTACCCCTTAGGATTTCTTCTGAGACAATGCAATCACTGCCCCACATGAAGTCCTGGAAACCACTGCCACACATGCCGCCAGACTGCTGACATTCCCCGTGGCAAGAAGGTAACCTTCTGCTGCACCTCTGACACGGCTTTAAAAAATCAGCACTGAAATGAGGCATGCTTAATCCCTCAAGGTATACGTACGCTTCTCCTTCATATCAGTAAGTGGTCTGACAAACTGCTACCACTCATCAGTTCATTCAGTACTGCTTCATGTTGCGTAGCTAATATGCCAGAATGCATACAGATAACGCTGGAATCCGGAGCAGTAGGACACGTCACAAGTGGCATGTTTTTAGTTCTTCTTCACACCTATTTCCAGACTTGGAGTTTGTTCTGAAGGTGTGAAGGGGACTGCTAGGTCACCCGCGCTGACCTGAATTGCAGAAGCTAGAGAACTTACGAGTTATTCTGCTGTGCAGGGCTTTTTCTTCTATGTTTTGTGTTTCATTTGAAGACGTGGTGATGGTGGATCCGATGCTTTTTTTAGCAAATGGTTAATTATTTGTTGCCCTTACAGACCCATTCCCAGATGTTGTTGCTACTGTTGCAGGAGGCAGAATGGATTTTGCTTTGTGATTGATGTGAACTGTGATTCACTGGTTTGCAGAGGCTTACATCTGATTGTGTTGTGTTTTGGCAAGGTAGAAGATGCCTCTGGGTAGTTTAATTTATATCAAGAAAGTTTTAGGGTGCTTTTATTCTTGATGTGTGTGTAGAAAACACTTCTTGTTAATATGCAGAATGCATTTTCAGAAATTCACTTACTGTTTTTGGAGAACCAAAATGTTTGAGAAGTAATCGCATTGTGTTATAGGGTCTAAAGCTATGTCTAACCAGCGATAAGGCCACCAGTGCAATCTTTAGTTTCCAAATCTTGATTGTCTAATCTATTCTTATAGCTAAAATTAAAAAAACTGCATAAAACTAACCAAGGCAGGCATCTCTCTTGCTTATGTTATAGATTTGACAGTGCTTGAACTTCCAGGTTTTTTACTTTTGCATAGTGTCTTCAGAAAATAATTTCTTTTTAAATCAAAAATCAAGCTATCTTTTTCAAAGCGATTAGATCCGGTAATTTTTTTTTAAACTAAGGAGTCATGGTAACACTTTTGTAAGGGAGCCAAGGTGCTGTTGCAAGTAGGAATACAAAATTTAGGCTTCTTTTCATAATTATGCAACACAATCTCCAAGTTCTATATTTAGATCTCTAAACTAAAAACCAGTTTATATCACTGTGTCCATAACTGAAAAGTTAAAATGTCGATCATTTGATCATGTTTTCTTAAGGTTTGGGTTTTTTTGGTTGCACATCTAGTTGCTTCACTTCCTTGTGGTCTGCACCATTTGAAAGATGCTTCTCAGCCCATGAGGCTGTGGTTGCCTGTCCAGTCAGAAGGATGATGGTAACCCATTGTTCCTATTTCTGTTTGGATGATACGAGAATATTACTAGGTGGATAATATGTCAAGTATCTGATATGCCAATATTCTGAAACTGTAAACATGAACATTTAGTCTAAAGCATATAGTTTCTGACATGGACAGAAATCACAGGAAACACAAGATACTGCAGCTGCCCTCTTTAAATTCTGGTAATGACTAAGCAGTCTTCAGTTTCAGTTTTGTCTTGCAGCTTTAATCCAGTTATGTGTATAATCTTGTGAAAGTGTCTCTCTTTCCCCTGAGATGTGAGAAGTTGTATTTAGAGCACTTTCGACTCAGAAGAGATAAATATAGTTCTTGGGTTTGCTGATGAAATGGCACAATTTAACTTTTAAGGAAGGGTCATGCTCCTCCCCTGATAAGCATCTGTAAATAATAATTTGTGATGGCTATGCATGGTGTGAACGATATTTTTTTTTTTTTTTTGGTTGGACCAAAGAGTGCATAATGGTTTATTATCAGTAATTTGGGATTGTTAATAATGGATTGGCTCCAAATTTGGGGGAACTTGTCGCCTAGTTGTTGGCCATTAAATAAAAATTGTACATGACTGGACATCTCTGGAAAAGAAAAGCCAGTCAGCTATGGGCTGCATTCTTTTGAAAAATGTTGGGTGTTTTTCTTGTACAAGGGAAAGTGCATTAATGACTATAAGAACCTATGCTAGAAGTGCCTGCCTTGGAGATGATCTTCAGTCTTCTCCATTTGGGTCAGCTTTTATGAGGTGACTGTCTCCTGCCATCTCTCAGTGAAAGTTTAATTTCTAGGCAGATTTGAGAAGGTATTTGTGTACTAGTTCCTAATTGGCCTAACTTAATGACCTACTTCCAGAAGGTTATTTGGACTTTGTTCCAGATCCCCCTCAGGCTACAGCATGCCTTCAGTTCAGTCAGGCCACCCCAGTGTTTTTCCAAGACTCTGTAATTCACAATATACAACTAAAAATGAGAATCTTATTTTGAGGTACAGAAATTTGTAGTTGCGTTGCCTGAATCAAGTTAAGGACTTCTGACACTCACTTTTATGGCTCTGTGCCTGAGGCTTACAACTTAAAACCCAACTTATGAATTGCTTGTGTGATAAAGATGCATTCATTTAATGAAATGAAGCTTATAAGAATTTCATAAGCCAGACTACACTCTAGTGTGTCACTTATTCGAGCTTCTGTTTATTAGGAATGTTTTCAACCTAACTGAAATTCACAGTGTCAGTATGTGTTGGCACCACTAATTAAATTACAAATTTAAAATAGTGCATCAGTTTGAATGATAAAAACTTGCCTGATTTGCTGATGGCTGCTGCATTTTAGCAAGCATATACATTTATTGTAGTTGGGGCTGGTTTCTTGGTAGGTTTAGGAGTCTACACGTGGGTACTGCATTCACGGTGGAGGCATGAGGTTGGGGACTGATAGAGGAAGGCACAGCAGAAGTGATACACGGAACTGTACTTGCAGTTTCCTACTCTTATTTGTTGAAGTTATTTGTAGGGCATTCTCTGCTGTTTTTTCTTATTTTTGTTCATTATCCTGGTTTTGGCCTTCTGGAATCCCTAGATGTGAAGGGAGGAAGAGGCAAGCTGGGCTAGCACTAAAGAGGTGGCCTGTCTATCCAGATTCCATTAATGCAATTATGTGTTCATATATTGACAGAGAATGAGGGTGTTATGTCCTGTCATAATTCCGACTTTAAAAATGATGCTTGTTTGAGGAATATAAGCAGCCCTATTTTTATCTTGTTTAGAAATTGAAAAAATTCAGAAGGGTGAAACAACAAAGAAGGATGAGGAAGAGAACTACCTGGATTTATTTTCCCACAAGAATATGAAACTGAAAGAACGAGTTCTGATACCTGTCAAACAGTACCCCAAGGTGAGGGCCAGAAAATAGCTTACTGAATCTCTGTGATTTGCTTATTTTCTATGGATTTTATGGCTGACTTTTAGAGATAGTAGCTGTCAAAGTGTCATCAGGAGTTATGCCAGTGTTCCACTATCGCTACGGAATTTTTCCTATGCAAGCTTGCAGGATCTTATTTCTAATATATTACATTTCTAGAATGTCTTGGGATAAAGCTAAATAGTGATGCATAGTTGTGATCTTTTATTACTAGAATAGACACTTTCATATGTAGAGCTTTGTGTTTTACAGTTAAGAATTCATTTAACTCTTAAGACTTGCTGCCTGTAAAACTACTGGAGAGTAGATGTTAGAATTAAACGCTTACCATGGGTTAATATAGCTTGATTTTCTGGTGGAGCATTTTTTTCATGAAAAGAATGTTCTGGAACTTAAATTTTCCTGTGCATTTTTTGGTCTGTATTTTTTGGTGAGGTGAAGAGAAAATGGAGTGGCTAAATTTTTTGTCAGCCAGCATAACATTCAGAAAAGCTTTTGTTAAGGCTAATGAGCTCTGGAGCTAATTTTTTTTTTCTTTTTTTCTTAATTTACAGTTCAACTTTGTTGGAAAGATTTTGGGACCTCAAGGCAACACCATCAAGAGACTTCAGGAAGAAACTGGTGCTAAGATATCTGTGCTTGGGAAGGGTTCAATGCGAGATAAAGCAAAGGTGAGGGCATCACCCTTGAAAACATATATTAATGCCTTTGATAGTGCTGTGACACGTTGTGGTTCTCAAAGCATTTTATAAAAGATTAAACCATTAAAATCCAAACGCAAAGGTGGTAGAAAGTCACCCTTCCAAAATTACTCTGTGCGTGTTGGGAGCAATCTTGATTGGGGCAGAAGTGTGATGCATGTTTTCTTTATGAGCATAACTTAGAGACTAGTCATCTTTTGATATCCTGTACCCTTGGATGCAGAGATAGTTTATATGAAAGGTGAAGTATAAAGTTTGTAAAATAAGAATTAATTCCAGCTACTCTGTGAAAAGTCATTCGCTAAAGGAATATATTAACCCTCCAGAAAAAGAAGGCAGGGGGGTGTCACAAAGTGCCAGGAGGAAAAATTAAAAGAATTTTTTTTCTCCCTGCTTACTCCCAAAACCGAGCTAACAGTCAACAGAACTGTAACTTAATTCAGCTTTTTACTTTAGCAGCATGAAAAGCTTTTACACTTCTAGCTTATTTGTAGCTTCTTAAAGCCACCTGAATAACACAGATGTCTAAGAGCAGAGTTAAAGATCAAGCTTGTTTGAGGCATTAGACTTCACTAGGTGGTAAAGAGCACCTCAGGCAGAAAGGTATTGTAGAAAAGGAGGAACACTGCTTGCATATGCTTAATCTTTTGGATAAAAGGTGGCTGGCATCAATGCATTAGCAAAAATATCAGTCACCTGAAAAGGCAGCTATAAAAAGATGGAAGGTGTAGATTGCATGTGGCTTTTTATAAAACCCTATGCTCATGTATGCTGTTATGACCTGTGTCCAGGGATGGCCAAAATGCTTTTACAGACATTTCCTGTTCAGGTGTAGAAAAACAGATAGAAGAAAATTAGTTTCTCTGCATCTTATTTAGTTTTAGGAATCGCTAATCTGCTTTGTTGCAGGAGGAAGAACTGCGTAAAGGGGGAGATCCTAAATATGCTCATCTAAATATGGATTTGCATGTCTTCATTGAAGTTTTTGGACCCCCTTGTGAAGCGTATGCTCTGATGGCTCATGCCATGGAAGAAGTCAAGAAGTTCCTCGTTCCGGTTTGTATGCTGATGTTGTTTTCTTTTTGAAGGGTGTAGATGGGTTGTGAATCTGGCTATAAGGATGGGTAAGATTTGCACAGTGTAAGGCTCACACTACAGGTATTGGTGTAGTTGAGGAAGCCTGGAGTATTACATATGTATGTGGCAGCTTAAGATGACCCCATTAATCTGGTGTGAAGGCATGTGTTATTCCACTAACCATAATTAGAAAGACATACACTTACAGGGCAATTGTATAGAACGCTTGGAGTAGGTATTTCTCTCCCAGTATTAGCTGTGGACACTGGGGTGGGTGGGTAGCTTGTATAGCTTCATGTGTCAGTTTTAGTGGGAGAATAAGTTTAGCCATGCCTGGCATGGAAGAGACTTCTCAGATGGGTTCCTCTGACTTAGAACTATGGCATAGAAATCTGGCTAGAAAACTTCATTGGCCAGATCAGAAACTGTAAGTGCGGAGGTGTTTGCTCTGCTCTGAAGGAGTGGTGTGAGGATGAGGAGGGTGACTGCCTAGGCAGCTCAGTAGTAGTATTCAGTGTTGTAGCTAGTTTCTGAGACACATCTGTTAAATCAGTATTTCTGTTGTGTTTAAAAGTGTATGATGTGAAGGAACCTCTGTGCTCATCAGGTGTTTATACAGATGACACTTAGCTGTTTGTGGGTGTCTATTACTGGTGAACCTTATAAGACCTTTATGGTCAACTTCATGTCAGTTTTGTGCCTGTTAGAGTATTGACTCCAAGAACTGCAGAATTTGAAGGAGTCTTCTGCATGTTACTAAAATGATAGTGTTAATTGCTAAAGTAGGAAAAAAAAAACAAAATGGAAAAGAAGCACACAGTGCTCCCTGCTTCTGGCTAGCTCAGCCTGTAATTCAGAGACCTGGCAGGTAGAGAGCTGAATATACCCTGGCACCATGTTCCACAGCTGAGACTGGGAGCTCAGATGTTCTGCCTGAAATACCAGGGGCGGGTGGAACCCAAGAGCAGTGGGTAGTAGGGAAGTGTGGAAAAGCGTGTGGGTACTGTGTGATTTCTGTGAGTCTGACACTGAGAGGAGGAGAGATTGCTATGTGGAGTGTCTTTGAAGGAAAGAGGTCATCTTCAAGGAGCCCCTGGGATGTATAAAACCTCAAGCTTGCTAAAGCAAGCGTGCAGCCTTGCTATTTCAAGTGTCTTATCTATTGCTGCCTTCAAACAATGTGTTAAACTTCTGAAAATTGACAGAGAAGTCACTATGGAAGCCAGCAGTGCTCTGAAGACACATCTGGTAGGAGACTCCTTGCTTTGTGGTGTTGCCATGGCATCATGAAGATCCTCGATGCGAGGCCCAGCCTGCCTGTGTGTTGAGGGGAGGGGTGGGGTACAATGACTTCTGCGGGGTCACCAGAGATCTGTACTAATTCCTGAAGCTAGATACCCTGAGGTGATAAAAATGCATGGAGCCAGACATGTACTGTGTTCCTAAGGATTTGAAAAGACAGCTTGGATTTGCAAATGGGTGTTTACTCTTTGTCAGGCTGCATCCTATCCTGTTCCTTCAGTGTGTTGGGAACACAGCAGTATTTTACGTTATGTGGGCTCACTGTCAGCCACTTGCCTTTAAGTGGGAGCTGTAAGGTGCTTGAGGTAAGATATGGCTTGCCTGACTTCACCTCTGAACTGTCCAACACTTGCAAATAAATCTTGCTGACATCCCTGGGATGCTGGACATCAGATACCTTCAGAAGCCCTATGAGAGAGGTTCTCTTCCCAGGGACCAGCTATAGTGCTCACTGCAGCTCCTGGACATGCAAGTGGTGTGCCGTTCTTGGCCGGTTTGGAGAAGGCTGGCAGTTTTTCCCTGCTGTCTGCTGAGCAAATCCTGGTAAAACTAACCAGCAGATTTTAATTTGGGACTATCAGGTTATTTTTATTCCAGCACAGTAGCCTGTGATATCCCGGAGCGCAGACTGGCTAGTTAGCTATTCTTTGGAGTTGACTCTTTCCCCTCTTTAGGATATGATGGATGATATCTGTCAGGAGCAATTCTTGGAGCTCTCCTATCTGAATGGCGTACCAGAGCCAACTCGTGGCCGAGGAGTCCCTGTGCGGGGAAGGGGAGCAGCTCCACCACCGCCTCCACCTGTTCCAAGGTATCTTTCCCAAAAGCACAGACCTAGAAATGCTGGATCTTGCTCAGAGTTGTCCTGCCAGATGAGTTTAAGCTACTTGTTCTTGCACATCAGCTGTTGGCCTTGACCTTGGCTTTTGGCCAAGGCTTTCTAGCCTTGTGTTGCAGGCTTGCTTTTAGCAAGCTGGCATCGAATGTTTTGTATGTTTTGAGATGTAATCTAGTGGAGTGGATGTTTTCTGTATTATTTTTGATGTCTGAAATCAGCAGCTTCATAAAGTAACCTTTCAAAAATTGGCCTGCAAAATCACGTGTAGATAGATGTGTCGTGTTTGCTTCAGCCTTCAGCAGAATAAGCGTTTTCAGTTTAAACTGACCGTCCTTTGAAAGTTATAGCGTGGCATTATTCTGTCATTGCTGTCAAGGCATTGGGATAAATTGGCGATAAAGCTCTGTTACCATAGTTCTTGCTTCACTACCTATTTCATCGGGGAAAGTCTTTACTTCTGAGTGTTTAGCCCAGAAGTGTCCCTGCCTATCATCATTGATCTTTACAGTCCTGGAGGTCTGGCAGTCATTGCAAGTTAGTGATAGAGGGTTATTTAAAATGAACTCTGAGAAATTGCTTGCCTGAAGTTCTGTATCAGATTTATTTCTTTGTCTGTACAACATCTAATGCAGTAGAGTTCTCATCCCAGAAGAGGTTTTTGTAAATCCTGCAATACAACAATATTAACGATTCTTGTGCTTTCGTTCCTGATAAAGAATTCATGGCTTAGTTAATAGTGACTGTATTTATTTATCAAGCTATTGCATTTTAAAGTAGGTGTAAGACACGCATGCAGTGCCCTCAGTATTCAGCACATGAGCAGTACAGCAGTAGCTGTTCACAATCCTTTTTATCTCCTTTGCAGGGGGCGTGGTGTTGGTCCTCCCCCTCCTCCTCCTCCTCCTCGGGGGGCCCTTGTGCGAGGAGCCCCGGTTCGGGGTGCCATTGCTAGGGGAGCTGCTGTAGCCCGCGGAGTACCTCCTCCCCCAGCAGTACGGGGTGCTCCCGCACCCAGAGCGCGTGCAGCCGGAATTCAGAGAATACCGCTTCCTCCTCCTCCTGCACCAGAAACCTATGAGGAATATGTAAGAAACTATATATCTTTGGGTTTTTTTTAATTCCAGCTAGCTGACCATGTATTAGATGCTCAACATAATTGAAATAAGGGCTAACAACACTAAGATTGCTCTAGAGAAGCGACCACCAGTGCAAACACTGGTATGGTGCTGGGTGTGACCTGCTCTGCCTCTTTAGTCCTCAAAGGAGGGAACTGCTAGTGTCCTAAATACAGGGTAAGGGGTGTTTTTTATAAAACTGAAATGTGCCCCCAAGACTGAAGTTTGCCGTAACTGTCAGTGCATGGTAGAAAAACTACATCACAAAGATTGATGTAGTTCACATCACATTCTCTTCCTGCAAGAGAATTGTTTGAGCAAGAAACACCAAATGTTTCTTACTTCCCCTAAAATCCTTAAAGTAAATATGTGAATGAACATGATGATGCTTCAAGTCATATAACTAAGCACCACCCTCCTGCCAAGCTTATCTTAGCATCTGTGCTCTTGGTATTCTAAAGGAAAAACAAGACAACTGTTTTCGATGCACAACAGCATTTTCAGGAATCATCACAAATATTCATACATCTAAAAAGTCTGTTTCTGCTCTCAGTAAAATTTCTTGAGTTTTTCCACTGAAACCAATCCTAAGTTAATAGGTTGCTTTTTGTCTACCTGTGAATCTGTGGTTTGGATAACACAGTTACAGGCCTCCTGGCACATGGATTTTTACCGCAGACAAACTGCAGCCTTGGACATGTAAAAGACTTTCAAATGTGTTGTAAATATTAGTATAGTTCATTCCTCCCAAGCCACAGGACACAAGCAGATCTTAGCCACCTATGTCTTATGATTGAGCTCCTTACCTGCAGCAGGCAAGGATTCACAGACACCTCTGAAAGCTGCTGTAGCCTGAATTCAGTTTTCCCATTACTCTTGGTCAGGCATTAACCTTTGGTCCTTCCATTAACGCCGTTTATGTCGTCATCTGTTTCAGGGCTATGATGATGCATATGCAGACCAGAGCTATGAGGGGTATGAAGGCTACTACAGCCAGGGCCAAGGGTAAGTTTGCTTGTCTCCTATCTGTTACTGAGAAAATTATGCATGATATTTTTTTCTTTTTTCTTTTCTTTTAAGGGAATGGAAACACTCATTTCTGAGTTTGAGCTGTAGGGAAAGTGCCCTATTCTGCTGGAATCCAGGAGTGCCTGGGAAATAACTTCTGGGAGTGTCCCAGTGTCCTTGACAATTCTGTAAAAGCAGTGATCAGACACACCACAGCCATGAGCAATATTGGGCATCTTTGCTTTTCAAGTGTTTGTGCAAGTTGTGTCAGTTTAGGAGTACGATTTCAGCACTGTATGTAACCACCATAATTACTCTTCCAGGGACACAGAATACTATGATTATGGACACGGGGAGGCACAGGAAACCTATGAAGCTTATGGTATGTCTGGGAATACTGTTCTCTTGACAGGGAAGGGGCTGCACATAGTTGGGAATTGCCTGCAGCAGTTGCACATAGTTGGGAATTGCTTGTGGTCGACCAGCTGTTTTCCAGTGCCACTCCACGCTCTGAGCAAAAACTTACTGAGAACCTCAAGCAGTTTTCATGGTCGAATATTTATACCCTACAGATTATCCAGGTCTAAACAACCAAAGGCGTTCTGTGTCTTTTAGATTCTTATCTAGCTTGATTGTCTCAAAGGTGACGCTTTTAAAATTCCATTTTTTAACTATGGAAATATCTTTTAATTTCCTTGTAGCTTTAGAATATTTTAAGGGTTCTGGATTTCCACCCACAGCACTACTTTTGCTGCAGTCTGGTGTTCACGGATTATATTTTGTTGAGCTGGATGAGTGCATGGTTCCATCTGCTTCCTTATCCTCAAAAACCCGCTAGCTGATACTGACTCTGCACTATATATTTGCTTGAAAAATGGATTTTAATGTCATATGAAGGCCTCCCTTTGATTAGGTGGAACAATTTTGGTCAATATGACTTGCAGGTAGTCTATGAAGTGCAGCCAATTTGAATTATGTAAAGCTATCAGCTTAGGCTAGACTGAGGGGTGTGGGAGACCAATTTAACCACAACTTTGTAAACCACCAACTGTTGAAAACAATAGGCCTTATATCTGAGGTGCTGGCAATAAAAGATTGGGTGGCTGCATTTATTTTTTTTTAAGCTAGTTCATATATCCAAGCTTATGAATGGCATCTGCATGTGGCAATGACTAAGATTCATTTTTCTCTCTCTGTAAACAAGCTGAACTATAAACAGTTACAAAACCTATACAGTGAGCTGCTTAATGGCATGGAAATATGCTGTATTGAAAGCAGTCCCTTTAGCAGATCATCAGTTGCCTGAAGGCGTGAATGAATGCAGGTAGTGACGATAGTGATGAGCTGGAGGGGCTTTCTGGGATCCTCAGGAGCTAGGAATCCCCTATGCCATGTCATGCTGGTATTAGGGAAGCAGAGTTGTTAATACCTGGCTGTCTCCTGTGTGGGCCTTGGATGTTCCCTGCTCTGGGCTTAAGTTGTGAGAAGTTCAAATTCAGGTGCCTAACCAGGGATGCTTTTCCAGTCTAAGATGCATTTGAATAGACAGATGCTGTCAGTAACATTGGCTATCTTTCCTGCCTTCAATGGCTTGGTTTGTTGCCTGCGTTAGTCACGCAGCACAAAGAGGCTTTTGTGCCTCCTACTTGGTAGGAGAGCGGTTGTGTTGTCTGGGATATGAAGGCCAAAACGCTCATTGTATACTTGGCATGAAGTTGCCACAGCTAATCTGTTTATCCACAGTAATTTCCTTTGGTCTCTGCTTTCATGAAAACAGAATTAGAGAAATAAATTGTTGAGCCAGGCTGGAGACAGTTTTGAGAAAATGGGAATGTGCTCCATGGTGGTAGGAACAGGCTCGGCTGTCTTCCGGGCTTCAGACACTCGCTTTCATAAACTGGTGACCCTGGAGAGAATGGCAGGCATGCAAGTATGAATGCTGCAAGCAGAAGCCATAATGAAAGCTGAGCTTGGATATTTGGGGGATATAGCTTGGGGACAATGGGAATGCAAACTTCATTTGCTTTGGTGGTGGTTGTACGTAGCAGAAGGGTTTGGGCTGTCCTGTCGAGTTCCCGTCAGCTGTTAATGCTGGTACAGCACTAGCAAGTGATGTCTTCTCCGAAGAGGTGAGCAGATGCTATGCGAGCTGCGGCTGTGAATTTTCCTGTATTCACGGAGGGGAAGGAACAGCAAGTCACAGTCAGAAAGCAGACTGGTGTCTGGAAGTTCAGTCGGACGTGCTGCTTTCCTACAGCAGCGTAGGGACTTAATTACTTTAGCACAATTATCCAGGAGCTGCCTTGCTTGGTGCCTGGGAAGGAGAGAAGCACTACCTGTAGCAGTCCCCCCAGCCAGACCCCAGGGTTATAGATGATGCTGGCCACCAGCCCGAGGGGCCGTGACTGCTGCGACCTTCGCCACGGCTGGCTGCCAGAGCTGCCCCGTGAATTGGCTTCAGCTCTGCGGAAATTAATTACTCCTAAAAGGCACTGGGTTTGTCCAAGTCGGCACTTAGCTAGGCTGTCGGAGCTGCAGGCTTCCTGCGCAAATGTTTTTTTTTCCCCGTGATGTCAGAAGATGTGCTGCAAAGGAGAGGTTTTGGTGGACCGTGGGGCATTTTGCAGACCGGTTTTGGGGTGAAACGGCTGTGAAGATGCCCCGTGCCTCTGTGTCGACTCCGGAGGGGGAGCCAGCTCCGCCGCTCCCTCCGTGCCCCTTCCCTGGCAGCACTCCGCCGTCCTTGACGTATCCCTCTCTTTTCCGCAGGGCAAGATGACTGGAACGGAACCAGGCCCTCCCTGAAGGCCCCGCCGGCCAGGCCAGTGAAGGGGGCCTACAGAGAGCACCCATACGGACGTTATTAAAAAACAAACATGAGGGAAAAATATCAGTTATGAGCAAACAGTTGTTACTGATTCTTGTATCTCCCGGGATTCCCGTTGCTTTACCCACACCAGACAAGTAATTGTCTAACTGTTTTTCTTCGTGGCCCTTTTTCTCCCACTCCATCCTCACCCTGCATTCTGGCTTCTGTACGTAGTATTTTAAAATGAGTTAAATAGATTTAGAGGACCGACTTTAATTTTTTTTTTTTTAAGTGTGTAGATGGCTTTTCTTTCTTTGTTGTTTAGATAAACACAACTGTACCTTTTTTAATAAAAAAAAAGTTGAGTTAAAAATGTTAGTTTCAAAAGTGACATGCTTTGCTTAGCAGTTATGAAATTAAGGTTTTGTTAACCTTTCAAGTTTGGTTTTAAGGAACCCATAAAAGTTGTAGTTGCAGAATCCCAAAGTAGGCTACATTTCAAAATTCAGGGCTGTTTTTAAGAATTAAAATCATAATGTAACGGTAGTAGCTGCCACCGTTTAAAAGTAACCTCAGATGTCAAACGTTCCTTAAAAGCAGATTGCTGGTGAATCTTAAGTTTAAATTTTAATACAAAGGATCCTCAAACAAATTAAATAGCATTTTTTAAAGGTAATTGACTTAAAAGAAAAAAAATTAGGTTTGTAAAATTGACTTTTCTTATGTGGGTTTTGAAATCTAGCCCCGAACATGCGGTGTTGAGAGATGCTTGGGAAGCAGATTTTCCAGTGTAAAGGGGTTCTTAGTTTGGTTCTGTATGAAGAACTTTTAAGGGAAAAAACAAATTAAAGCATGGCTCTAATTGCCCAGTGTTTGATATTAGAAAACAGAGTATTATTACGTGAGTAGGTCTGAACTCTGTAAAATTACAGTCTTCTCATTTTTATAGTGCTTGGGGCAGATAATGCAGTGCAAGTTTAAAACTGACAAAATTGTCAATATTAGCAATCCCATTGACTTGTTCAAGTGTATCTCAACACTAGCTTTGCATAAAAAGGGACACTGCAGCTGAAAAAATGAGGAAAAATTTCACTTTGTACATAGGATAAAGTCCTAATTGGATTTGTACACTGTCCTCCCACTCTGTTCTTGAAGATTAAATGCTACATGTGTAAGTCTGCCTAAATAGGTAGCTAAAACTTGTCAAAATGTCTGCCGCAGTTTGTCAATAAAGTTTAGTCCTTTTTTAATCAAAGTAAATGTGATGAATTGTCATTTTTTTGTTGAGCAATAAAATAGCTATTTTTTTTTTCAAATAAATTTAAATTAATGCTAAAGCTAATTGTCTTTTTAAAACATGGAGACATTCTAAAAATGGTGGTTTTTGTAATTCTCACAAAAAGTTTATCAAGCTCATTGAACGAGCTTAATTTTTTTAAAAAAAGAAAGAAAAATTGTTTTTCACCCCCTGGAAGTTGCTGAAAGCAGTTTGATCCTGGACTATGGCAGAAATCTGACTTCAGTCTGCTGGAAAGCGTTTACGGTTCTTTGCTGAATTACTGATTCAGATTTCAGGTGGCCTCGCAGAGTATTCCAGGCTGCAGGCTCCAGATTGAGTCTGAAATGGCTGGTTTAAACGTAGCGTGACAAAATGAATGCTGAAAAATCCAAGGCTTAGCTGCCACCAGGAGGAGAAGGAAGCTTGCTTTCTGCTTTATGTAAACACCCCTAACCCCCTCGGCTAAGATGATGCCCTTCCTATTTTACGGTAGCCTTTACTTGGAAAGCCACTTAAAAATGTGTCTTTGTTTGAGGAGGGTGCTGCAGTTGCTCCTCATATCCTTCTGAGAGGGTGTGTATGCACAGATATATAATATAATAGTTTAAAGTAAACTGCTGCTTAGACAGACATGAAAAATGGTTTGTATTTCCCATCTGCAAAATTAATCTGGCATTCTAGGGGGAGAGAATTAAACTGCTCGGGGGTGAAAAATAGAGCATTAGGAACCAAACTGCTTGTAGCAGTGCATGATTGAGGGGAATACTTTAAAACAAAAAGTTGTATTTGTAGATTGTTATTAAAGTGTAAATAACTGAATTTTCAACAATGGTTTGGAGTCAGCTTTCAGGGCATAATGTCTTGCTTGATGAAAAGATCACCCTATACCCCCCTTTTAAAGGAAAATTATCGCAGGAGAATCAGGATGTGTAAAGCTAACATGCATCGCAAAACCCAAAAGGTAACCTAAATGTCTGATTTTAATAGCACATTTCTCTTTTACATAAACTGTGACGGCAACTTGCATAAACTTTATTGAAACAATTCTTCAGATGTTAATTTTAATGTAAAAATTTGCAAAAAATGTTTAAAATAAACATTTAAAAAAAACCACATGCTTCTGCATAAATTAGCAATAACTTTAATAATGTGCCCTTTGAAAATGCACTGTAATGTAATGTGGGCAAAAAGGAATCGGCAAGCTTAAATATCAAAAGATGTAAAATGACAACGAATATAGATAGTCCTGCTACTGCCAAAAAAAAAAAAATTCTGCTCAGTTATTTAAAAATGTAAAATGATGGCCCTTTTTAGACCCCAGTATTTATATTTACTGTGAAATGTTCAAAGCTCAGCTTAAGTTGCATGTTTTCCTTCCTGTGTAATTGCATGCAGGACTCTTTTTCTTTTGATTTGTGCTCACATTAAGGAGACTCACAAATGTCTTCAATTTGCAGGAGTCAAGAGTACATCGCTGTGAATCACTTGGGTGAAGATGAGCAGGGGCAACAAGAAGTGGGTAAGTTTGTTTATTTTTGCAACCCGTTGCAAGTTACTAACATGTTTTGTGTGGGAGGGGGGGGGCGGCACCATCTGAGCTGCTAAATTGAAGCCATTCTTTATATACCCACAAATAAATTACTCTTGTGAAAGGCCAGTTACATGACTGACACTCTTGCAGAGGTCATGGTGTGGAGGAGGCTTCGGTATGTACCTGCCTAGAGTTCTCCCACCGAGATCCCATGCAGAAGGAGGTTTAAGTGGATTTGAGGAGAGAGGGAAACGTAAGGAGATCTGTCTCTGGGAGCTGATTCCCGGCTGAGATGCTGGCCTTCGTGGGAGCACTCTGGGCAGCAGGGTAGCGATGAAGTTGTTGTTACCCCCTGCTCTAGAAAGAGAGCAGCTCAAGGAACGGCTCAGTAGGAATTCCTATAGGAGTCCATGATGCATCAAAATTATTTGCAGATTTTAGACCAGATGCTGCCCAGCTAGGCCTTGCTAGTTCTACCCCTTCCACCCCCATCGATGGGCTCTGAAGTGTGATCTGCCTGCTGGCTGTTCTTTTTTTTTTATGGCTTTTTGTCTGATGTCATTGCTGGAGACAGCTCGGGCAGCGGTCCTGCCAGCCCGGCTGGGACACGTTCAGCTCGGAGCCCCGCAGGGCTGCACGCCTGGCATCAGCGAGCGAACACCCTGAGCCCCCGGGAGGGGTGATGGACCCCCAGCACCTTTGGGTGCTGGTGGGGATCAGCACCCACAGTGGCGGGGCTCCCTCTGGTGGCTGCTCTGGCCCCACTGACGTGCTCGTTCTCCAATAAATACCTTCACAAATGCACGCCGGTGCTTGCCAAACCGAGTGGTACCTTGGCTGGGGAGATAATCACGCATCAGTGGAGTGACCTGCTTACACAGCAAGGACACATCTCCCCCCAGGCCCAAAGGCAGCAGCCGTAAGCGTTTCCTTTGGGGACGGCTAATCGCTTTCTCTCAAATCTCGAGATCACTGAAAGTCTGAGCTCCATAAATAAAAGAACAAAGAAATAAACCCTTGCAATGCTGAAGGAGTCTAATGGCTTCAAAAGACAACTGTGAAAAGCCCTGGGCATAGGACATTGAAGGACATAATTCTCATTTTATATGGAATTGTAAAGCTACCAAACGAGCTTCTCTTATCTTAGGAGTATTGGGAACAAGAAAGCGGTGATATGTGGAAATGCTGCAACAGAGTGAGATTGCCCTCAATTCTTTGACTTTCGCTTGAAAATTGGATCCATAGTTTTCTGCTAGGGAAATCATAACATGTCTGGATTTGTGGCCTGTTTATCAAATGCATCTTCATTTACAATGTAATTGAAACATCAATTTATACGGTGTTGTACCAATCTTTCCCATTTCTTTCTTAATAGGCACAGCTTTTATATCAAGTGGAAAAGATTTGATAGAGATCATCTATTATGATGCAGTTTTTTACCAGTAGAAGTGGATCTTGTGACACTGCCTTTGGAGTAATACAGCTTGCTTGTGCATTGCATTTGTTGCATGTTTATGTGAAAGATTTTAATGTTATGGAGGAATGTAAATCTTAATATATTGAAATAACTGTATATGCTAAAAGTATTTTGAAATCATGCCCTGCATCAAACATCTTCCTCCCTCTCATAGCATTACTACATTCAGATTTTAGCCTAGAGTCTGCAAAAGCTAATTTGAGATCCCAAAATAGCCATCAGCATCGGATGTGTCTCTCAAAGATGCTCTAATTAGCCAGACGTTCCGGGGGTGATACAGGACTTGCTGAAATTTGTGAGGGGTAGAGATTCCTTTGAGTACTGAAGTCTGAGTCACCTAAATAACCTTCCCTTTTATACTGGCATGTAGCCACTGGAGGTGGTATTCTGCTGGCTGTGAGCTAACAACCGCCAGTGATCTTTCATCCCCCGATTTCCCCAAAGGACTAATCCACATCTTATTATTTGTAGGATTTTGGTAAAGGCCATAATCAAGATAAAGGCCTCCATTGTGCTTGGTACTGTACAGTGTGATATACAGCAGCAGTCACGTCTCCTCTGTGGAAGTGTTTCCCAACAATACTGTTCTTTTCAAGAGAAGCTTGGCTCTAGAAACATCTTCCTGCTGCAGAGTGCTCTGTGTCCCAGCAGTCCCATCTTCTCTGGCCCTTGCTCTGAGTGGCCACAGCTTCTTCAGCCTCTAGTCCAGCCCTTTGGTATAAATACTCCGGCTGGCCTTGCTTGGAGCTGGTACAAACCTGGACTTTACACTTCCCCGGTGAGGTCTCACCATGCATAGCAGTTCATAGCCGGTATCTTGGACAGCAACAGGAGTGTGAAACTGAGCTTGCAGGAAAAACACTCCAACTGGTATTGCAGAGATATCCCCAGCAGCTTTTCCTGGAAAGAGACTGTCATACCCTGCCTGTTCCTTAACCCTGGTTTCAAGTTGCTGTTCGGATTATTAAATAAAGCAAATGGCTACAGGCTTTGTTTTATAACTTACCTATGGTATTTTTATGTTTAACTTAAAACACTGTGCTTTCAGTAAGGCAAAGACATTACCTTGATAGGGCCCTCTGTAAAATTCCCTATTTGGTAAGTTGGGTTTAAGAGCACAGCTGGATTCCCTGTTCGGCTGTTAAAGCAGATGATTCTTTTTGTACAGAATGAGTTTTTAAATTTGTATGAGAGCATCTGTCACAAACAGAGCCAAGAAAAACAATTTAAATGTGCATGTCTTCCCTTCCTCAACCCATGCCGCTGCTCTCCTAAAGAACACTTGGGCAGAGGGTGATTCCTGCAGCCTGTGATAGACCCTCCAAATGGCCCCAGAGGAGGAGAGACCAGCTGTGACCCGTCTGCTGGGAGATGCAGAGGAGAACAGGCGGTGTTGCAAACACAGCTCTTCTCTCAGCTGCGAGGAACAAGTACATATGGTGCTTTTGGGGAGGAAGACAGGGCTTAGGGAAATTCTTCTTTAATTGATAAACCTATAACATCTTGGATGAGATGTTGGACACATGCCCCATTTGTAAGCTTTGAGGGGGAGGAATTTCTGCAGGCTAGTCAGGGCCCATGGGAACTCCCATCTCGAATGTAGATGTTACTCCTCTTTTTCTACTCAGGAAGCTCAGTTCCTTTGAGCACAGAACAGAAACCTTTGCTGTTATTGCTCAGTTGAGCCTTCCATTGCTACCATATGTTTTAATAGAAATGTTTGTTTCCATGCTCATTTTGCTCCTTTTGCAAAGTGGGATGAATCTCCGACGAGCTGATTTCAGATCTGATAAAGGAGCACCGCTGAGATGCCGTTCGCTTTACTGTGGCTGGGAAATAGGAACCTGCCAGCTCTTGGTGAGTGTTGGAGAACACCGGAGCCTCCCTTGGCTGCCGCAACCCCTGGAGAGCAGCAACTGTGTGTTGGAGTACTGAAATATAAAGTGTTTTCCAACGAAGCTGTTACTTTTACCGCTGGCTTTAGAACCAAATACGACCAAAGGCTTGTACGCGCTGTTACAGATGCAAACCTGTTTTTAACCTGACATCGGTGCCTCCTACCTGTTACCTTTATGGTTGTTCCTGGAAGACTTTGTTAAAACCGCAGGTGTCTGGATACTCCTGGTTTTTGATGGCTCTGCACAATGTAGGTTTCAAAACCAGTAAGAAATGAAAGATTGGCCCTGTGAAAGTTCATTAATGTTAGAGCTGGTTTTGCCTCCAGCCTAGGCAGGGGTGGTTCTCCGGATTGTATAATGCTCCATCTGTACTGAAGCATCAAACCACCCACAAGTTAGGGAAATCGATGAGAAATCCTGCAAGTGGTTGGTAAAGATGGTGAAAACTGATCAAGGTGAATCACAGCATTAAAATAACTTGTATAGGAAACTGGCAAGCTCTTCTGCGCCTGGTATTTAAAGAGAAGTGTTCAACAGATGTTGAAAGTGATTAGTCATTCCCGATAATAAAGGCCTAACGTTGAAAATTTTTTTTTTTTTTTTTTGGCTTTCAGAGGCGTGAGGTTTTTCTCTCGTTTCTCTTCCTGCTGCAGCGTTGCCGTTTACGGGAAGATGGAGTTGGGGGAGGTTTGTTGACGCAGGGTGGGCGATGGGGGGTTCCAGCCGTACCTCAAAATGCCCCAAGTGCTTCGGTGCCTACTCCGGTGGGCGGGGGCGAGGGAGGGCGTGGCCGCGGGGAGGCGGGGCGGAGCGCGCCCGGCGCCCCTCAGGAGGATTGTCCGCTGGCGGCCGCCACCGCGCCGCCGGCCCCGCCCGCCATATTGTGCCCGGCGCAGGCTGTGCGGCGGCCGGAGATGGGTGAGGGGGACCGAGCGGCGGGACGGACCCGGGACCCGGGGAGGAGGGGAGGCGGACGGGTACG